TTGTCTTCCAAACACAGATCAGATAGATGAGAATCTGAAGTTGGCCCTGCAGAAGGATCTCAACGTCATGGCACCAGGTCTCACTATCCAGGTAGGTTCAATCACTGACGAAGATTAGTCTTTTTTTCCACCTCTCATTCACCTACCTTTCACTAGATTGATGATGATTTCTTAGAATCATAGAATCATTTGGTTGGAAGAGACCCTCAAGATCATCGAGTCCAACCATTCCCCCTGCACTGTCAGGGTCCCTAAACCATGTTCCTCAACACCAAATCCACACGGTTTTTAAACACCTTCAGGGATGGGGACTCCACCACCTCCCTGGACAGCCTGTTCCAATACTTCACAACCCTCTCTGGAAAGAAATTCTTCCTGATATCCAACCTAAATTTCCCCTGGCGCAACTTGAGGCCATTTCCTCTCGTCCTGTCATTCCTAACGTAGGAGAAGAGACCGACCCCCATCTCCCTACAACTTCCTTTCAGGTAATTGTAGAGGGCAATAAGGTCCCCCCTTAGCCTCCTCTTCTCCAGACTGACCAATCCCAGCTCCCTCAGCGGCTCCTCATAGGACAAGTTCTCCAAACCCTTCACTAGTTTCGTTGCTCTTGTTTCAGTTCTCTGCGTAACGTGAAATAGTTGAGCCTTGAGTTGAGGTTTGTCAGCTGAAGACTGTCCCTATGACAATGACCACTTCTAAATGCTAGTTTTATGTAAGGAGAAGACCTGCAGGGCAGAGGAAAGAACCTTTTAGGCCACGGACCTGCAGGTATTGGATTTAATTTGCAAAGAGCAAGAAAACGTTTTTCTTTAAACTAGCTTTGGCACCTCCGTAGAGCTGGGTGCTCCAGTGTGCCAGTGCAGTTCCTGCAGGTAATTGCAAAAGAAAAGAGATCTTCATCTTTCCTGCGCTTGGAGCAGAGATAGGGAAAGGTGTTACGTCTTAAGTGATTTTCTACTTATGCTTAATGTTAGAAAATCACGTTTAATCCTAGCTGGGCTATGAGATGTACTGGCTTTTTGGCATGCTGAAGTTCAGGGCAATCGATTGGCAAAAATACACCTTGGGCTTGCAAGGGCTGAGATTGAAATCCCTGGAGATTTCCACTGTAGGGAAGAGAGAGACCCAATCTGTTTTGCCGTTCTTTTTACCACATTTAGCTAGGCTGGCTGGCCGCGTGCGGGGAGGGAAAGCCTCCCGTTGACAGCACATGAAGTGCTGTGATGAATACTAGTCCACTTTGCTTGCTCTGTTTTCATAGATTCATAGATTTCTAGGTTGGAAAAGACCTTAGAGATCATTGAGTCCAACCATCCCTAATCCCCATTAAACCACATCCCTAAGTAGCTCATCCACCCTATTCTTAAACACATCCAGGGATGGGGACTCAACCACCTCCCTGGGCAGCCTATTCCAGTGGCTGACAACCCTTTCAGAGAAGAAATACTTCCTAACATCCAACCTGAATCTGCCCTGACTAAGCTTATACCCATTTCCTCTTGTTCTGTCACCCATCACTAATGTAAAGAGCCCTTCCCCCACCTCCCCACCATCCCTTCTCAAGTATTTGTAGGCTGTAATCAGGTCTCCCCTCAGCCACAGACAGTGTCTTACCACGAAGAAGTTGAGATGGCACCACTCTTCCAAATATCCAAGTTATCTTGGGCTGCACATCACAGAGAAATTTCCTACAAAAGTTCATCGTCGATCGAAATTATCATCATCACATAAATGCCCTTTTTGATCTCAGGGTATGGAAGGGCATAAGCAAAGCTCCCAGCTCTTTGCTGGGAGATTCCAACTGCAGGGCTAAATCTGATCGTCCCCGTATGCTATTTCATCTCAGTTTGGCATGCCCAGTCTTCGCTGTTGGTCAGATTGGCAGGATATCCTGCCTGCATCAGCCCAGGCTGAGCTCTCCAGACTAGCAGTTTGAAGAAGTCCCATAGCTAGTGAGGAAGGTGGTTCATTTCTAGTACTTGAGAGTGTCATCCTGCCCTTGTATTCCTGTTCCTTTTCAAAACAGACCTGCACCCTTGTCTCCAGTAGCATTGTGGCTCAGCGTACTACTCTGCCACGTTGCTTTGTCTTTTGTCAGGAAATACCCTGCTCCTTCGCTGAAGAGCTGAGCTTGCTTTAAACTCTCCACGTGCAGCTGTGTAACTCGGATTAACCTCGCTGTAGCCAGGATTGAATTGCTTTGTGAGCTCCAGGGGAAGTGACTCTGTGTTTGGGCACAACGCTCCCCTCTTGAAGAGCATGTTTGCACGTATAAGTGCTTCAGAGGTGGCTGACGATTCGTTTTTGAAAGAAGTGACGTGGAAGTCAACTCGTTATTGAAAAGATGCTGTTAGAGGGAATGAACAGCATTTGTTTCTAGGTTTATTAAAACTAGTGTATATGAAACCTCCAAAAGTCCTCCACATTGCCTGATGCAAATCTTTCCTGACTTTTCTCTTCCTGAAGAGAAGTGGAGGCCAGTGGATGATAAGAAGCATCTAGAGACAGTGTCACAGGGGAGCCTCCTGCACTTTCCTGTGAAAGCAGCACACCCTGGGGTTTGTCTCAAGTGTCTGGGAACACATATCCTGGGAACAAACCTGGCAAACTGGAAATCCCATGTGCAGTTCCAGGGCCTGGTGGGATAGCTCACCAGTGCGGTGCTGCTGTGGGTGAATATGCTGTCTAGAGAGGATGGGCTGAGAAGGTGAGGCAGCAGGGCTGTGATACCTGCAAAGGACTAGCTCAAATCATGCGGAGCTTCTCTTTGAGATGGGCAGCCTGGTGTAGTGGAGGGTTTCCTTGCCCATGGTGGGGGGGTTGGAACTAGATGATCTTTGAGGTCCCTTCCAACCCAAACCATTCTGTGATTCTATGGACAATGAACAACTGAGTTAAGAGCTGATACAGCTAAGACTCAGACCAACGTGGAGGACCATATGGTCCTTGTCTGCTGCAGACCACTCAGTTAGTAAGATGAAGTAGGTAAAGCTGCTTGTAGAAGACCAGAGGAAGCCTCATGATCACAGACCCTAGTACTCATGGGGATCTCTGACCACCTCGCTGTCCACTGGAAGGGCAGTAGGGCTGGGTGCAAGCCATGCTGGATGTTTCTGAAGGGCGTTGAACACAGGTTTTGGCAGTGGTGAGAAAAGCTGACTGGGGGAGATGCTCTGCTGGACCTTTTAGACACAAGGAAGACAGGTGAAGCCTGGTGGCAGTGTAAGCTGTAGCAGCTCTAAGGTGGTGACTTCAAGGTCCTCAGAGGAGTGAGGTGAACAGGAGAATTACAGAGAACAGGACTCTGTGCGAGGTGTGCTTGGCAGGCTCCTGTGGGAGACTGCCATTGTCAGCAAAGGAGGCCCCACGTCATTGCCAAGGACAGCCCAAAGTGTGGAAGGTCAAGCAGGTGAGACAGGACGCTGGCGTGGATGGACAAGGAGCTCTTGACTGACCCGAAAAGCAGAAGAGAAAACACACAAAAAGATGGAACAGGGATAGGTGAGCTGGGAGGAAAAAAGCTAGTTGAACTGAGAGTGCAGGGACAGAGTTAGGAAACCCAAAGCTCAGCTAGACTTGGACCTAATGATGGCTGTGCAGGACAACACAGAGGGCTTCTGAGGTGCATCTACAGCAAAAGGAAGGCCAAGGAAGCTGTGGAGCAGGGGACATAGTGATCAAGGACATTGAAAAGGCTGAAATACTGAACACCTTCTTTCTGGCAAGGTCAACCCTTAGGCCTCCCTGTTCCTTACCTCAGCAGTAGAGTCTGCAGAGGTGAAGCATTACCCACAGTAGAGGACAACTGAGCGGCTGAACACGCACAAGTCTGTGGAACTAGATGGGATGCATCCCAGGGTGCCGAGTTGCTGGCCTGCACCATCGTAAAGCCGCTCTCTCATCTTTGAAAGATGGCAGTGGTCAAGGGAGGTCCCGAATAACTGAAAACACACAAATGTCACACCCATGTTTAAGGAGGAGGATCACCAGGAGAGAAGTACCACACTGTCAGCTGTACCATCAGCCTGTTCCTATTCTCTGCAACATTTACGTTGCCATCTCAGTGGTTTTCAGCTGCACTCTCTAGTTTGTTGGTATCCCCTATACTGGGTTCCTCGCAGTGGAATAAAAATTGCCTTCAGCCTGCTGCTGAGCTTTTGCCAGTACACCTCGGGATGGGGCTGGACTTCCTGGCCACAGCGAAAAGATGCTGTCGTATAGTCAGCTTGTCTTCTGATTCCTTCATGCTCTTTTTTGCAAAGTTGTAGCTCAGCCAGTTAGTCCCAGCATCTCCCCGTGCCTTAACATTTGATTATTAACAATATCGGTAGAGCACAGTAGAGTTTCCATCTAGTAGCTTTCACCGTGAAATGGATGGAGCCACGTGCTTGAAAGTGGAGATTTTCAAAGACCTGGCTGCTTTCCTGATTACAGAGGAGTCTTTGCCTGTGTTGGAAAAGCCACACTTCTGGAAACCGATCTTTGTTTTGGTGCAGGGACTATTGTGGAGGTAGAGAGAATATCCACTTGCGTACCCTGCCATGGCTCTTTCTGCAGGTGGTACCTTTCTAGGGATTTCGTAGGAGGTTAGAAAAATCCTTTCATTGAAGGATGTTCTGGTCTGGTGTCCCATAAATCTGCTTTCTTTGCCTGTTCAGAGAAGCAGCAGGGTTGGGGTTGTTCAGACTGGACAAGAGCAGGTTTCTGGGAGATCTTATTGTGGCCTTTCAACATACAAAGAGGGTCTTTTACCAAGGCCTGTAGTGACAGGACAAAAGACAATGGTTTTAAACTGAAGGAGGGTAGGTTTAGATTGAATTTAAGGAAGAAAAGTTCCACGATGAGGGTGGTGAGGCACTGAACAGGTTACCCAGAGAAGTTGTGGATGCCCCATCCCTGGAAGGGTTCAAGGCCGGGTTGGACAGGGCTTTGAGCAACCTGTCCAAGGCGAGAGGGGGTTGGACTGAATGATCTTTAAGGTCCCTTCCAACCCAAACCGTTCTGTGATTCCCGAGTGTCTTGCTTTGATGACAGGCTGGCTCCTTCTCCCCAGGCAGGGTGTTTGCTGGAGCCAGGGTGCCTGTTACAGGGAAACGGTTCCCTTTCCTCAGTGCATACAAAGACTTGCCTGGATGTGTCCACATCCCATTCCCCTCTGTGGAAGCCCCTCGGTTCTTTGCAGACTTACTGACCCCAGGGAGAAGCAGCTGGTCCAGCATTAGATCTACAGTGGAGATGGAGCAGGAGGGTTGTGAAGCCATTGTGCAGCCACGGACTGTCAATCTGCATCTCCCAAAGCTCATTAATGAGCCACACAACACACGAGCTGAGCAGCATTAGCTCTTGGTCCTGCCTCTGGAGGTTTTCCCCTCCTATTTCAGAGAGTCCTCCCCAGAGCAGCTTGGCAGCTGTCTCTGGTGTGTACCTGAGTAGTGGTGTCTGCATCACCGTGCACATCACTCTTGATCTACAGCTGCAAACAACAGCAGTTCCCAGCTGCCAGCTGTGCCCTGCTGCTCTGCCCTGTCTTTGCCACCACGCCTCTCGTTGCATGGTCACTTTTGCAAGGAGAAAATCCTGGAAAACCCATTCCTGAGCTCGTAGCCCTGCCTCTGTTTTGCAAGTCTCTCTCCTGCAATTTAATTCCGTTGGGTTTGCGAGCCCCTTTCTTGAGCAGTGCTTTGGAAAGTGTTGCCTGGTGATGTTTGAAGAGTCCTTTGAGAGGAGAACTAAGCTGCTTCTAACAAAGGTGGTGGACCTCTGTAGAGGTCTATTCCACAGGCCTACCTTGATCACTTAGGTGCCATAAAAGGTGCAAAGACAGGAAATCCAAACATAAGGCACCTCTGTGAGAGTGGCTGTGCTCTACAAGAGGACTGGAAACCATTATGCGTGGTCTTGGATCGATGTGGAGATGTCCAGGGGGCTACAGCTGGTTTTGCAAAGACATTTCTTATTTATGAAGCTCGCATCAAAATGTTTAATTTAAAATGCACTCACTTCTTTTTTTTTTTTTTTATAGGCTGTGCGTGTTACAAAACCCAAAATCCCAGAAGCCATCCGAAGAAATTTTGAGCTAATGTGAGTAGCTGTACATAAAACTGTACGAAATTGCTTTTGAGGGTCCAGCACAGGCATGATGCTGTTAGAAGGCTCTTACTCGGTGCTCGGAAGGTGGGAGGTGGGCTCTAGTCAGCGCGTGCTTGGCTAGGTGCCCTTGTGCATTCTGTGTCTCCTATTTCCATAGCTCTTTCACCTTGAAGCCTTTCAACCCGTCACAAAGATGCTCGTTAGCTTGTACAGAGTCTGTATCAAGGCTACGTTCCGACTCCTTTCTGTAGAGGGGACCCTGAGGTGCTACAGAGAACCTGTAGAAGACTTGTAAACTGAAGGCAGGGCTCAGGGGTCTTGGTGTCTCACCGATGAGCTCGCCTCCAGCCAACTCGCAGAACTGCAGACAGATTTTCAGTCTGATACGTACCCATGGAGGTCTTCTGTCCAAGCCCCTTCCCAAAGCAGGGCTAATGCTGCGACTGCAGCAGGTCACTGGGAGCTGTGTCCGGGCGAGTCGGGGCACCCCTGGGGATCCCCAGCTGCTCAGGGTCCATCCCAGAGACACCCGCTTGCCCAAGGACGGGCTGTTTCCTTGGAGCCGATCAGGATTTCCCGGAGCCGGTGTCTCCGGGGCTCTCGCTGTGCCCGTCTGAGCAGAGTCCAGCCCTGCCATCTCCAGGACCCCTTTGGGCAGGGCAAGATGCCACTGGATCCCCCTTCACATCCTCATCTCTGGCTGAGCAAGCCCAGCTCCCCCAGCCTCTCCTCGTATGCCCTGGCCTCCACCCCGCATCTGCAGTAGCCCTGCACTGGACTGTCCTCGTCCTGAGGGCCTCAAACTGTGTATAGCATCCAGTTATGGCCTCACCAGTGCCAAACAGAGAGGGGGAGTAATCCCTTCCTTTGACCTGCTGGCTATGCATGTGCCCCTACAGCCGAAGACAGAACTCATCTGGATGGCTGTGGGGACCCAATGCTGGCAACTGGTCAGCTTCTTGTCCTCCTGGCCTCTCATGCCCTGGTTTGCAGAGCTGTTCCCCAACTCCGTTTCCCTGTGATACCATTTCTCACCCTGCAGGGAGGCTGAGAAGACCAAGCTGCTGATCGCAGCCCAGAAGCAGAAGGTGGTAGAGAAGGAAGCAGAGACAGACCGGAAGAAAGCGCTCATTGGTATGTCACCAGCTGGAAGTACTAGCAGATGGAGGCCAGGCTGACTTTCCATTCCTGCATCTCCCAGTAAGCTGGGGTAGGATGTTGTCCTGCATCGCTGACAGCTCCGTGAAGGAAGCACGGCCAGGTTGCACCAACAATCGTTTAGAAAATACGAGTGTTGGTGCTCCTGCTTCCCTCCCCAGAGCAGCGAGCGCCTCTGTCCTGCAGTGAGGCTCCTGCTACAGCAGGCCAAGAGGTAAAAGCTCTGCCAGAAAAGCTGCTTGGGCATGAAGCTGCATGTCCTTGTGCCAGGGGGAATCACACTTGTGAAAGGGATGGCAGCCAGTGTAACTCCAGAAACATCAGCACTGTGGTTTCTTTCCGTAACTGTATTGCTTGGAGTACAACCTGGCACTGTAGGGGCCGAGCAGAAAGGGAGGCAGCTGAGAGGGAACGACGTGCGTGGCAGATTCTGCGACCAGGTGCTGGGGTCAGGGTGCTGATGCTCAAGCCCTGAGAAACGAATGGTCCGAGTTGTGCCTGTTGTGCTTGCAGAGGCAGAGAAGGCTGCTCAGGTGGCCAGGATTCACTATCAACAGAAGATTATGGAGAAGGAAACAGAGAAGCGAATATCTGAGATTGAAGGTAACTGCTGCTGGGGTCATCTTCCAGCTGAGGGTGGTGGCAGGTGGAGGAACCTCAGAACTGGGCTCATGGGCGTCGCCATCCTGCAAAAATAATCAAGGATGCAGTAGCGCACGGTTATGCGCTGGGGTCATTCCTGCCCTTTGCAGGTGGCCCTCCAAGAAGCCAACAGCACAGGTAGGTGGCCAGCCAGGCTCTGTCAGGGGCACACCTGGGTCAGCTCATCCCCGTGGGACAAAGGCTTGGGTGCTCAATGTGGTGGGGCCGTTCACTTGCTCATGCTTCTTTCCCTGTCTGTCCTCTGTTGCCGTGTTAGACGCTGCATTCCTGGCAAGAGAGAAGGCAAAAGCTGATGCGGAGTACTACACCGCTCGGAAGCTGGCTGAATCCAACAAGGTGAGCACTTGAAAGCTGGTCAGAAGATGACTTCCTCTTGTCCTCTGCCCAGGAGATTAGATTCAGGCAGGCAGCACTGGAAAACCACTTGATTTAACAGCCTGCATCGCAGGAAGCAGCTGCCTGAGATGACCAGGGGCCCAGAAGGTTGTCTCTCACGGTCTCTGGTTTCTCTTTTTGTAGCTGAAACTTACCCCCGAGTATCTGGAACTCATGAAATACCAAGCGATAGCTGCCAACAGCAAGCTGTATTTTGGTGACCGCATCCCCAGGGTGTTTCTGGATTCCTATGCCTTCCAGCAAGCCAGTCTGAGGACTCCCCGAGAAACCAGCCTTCCTGCACAGGAGACCCCGGACACCTCTGGAGAAAGCCACCTCAGAGCAAAGGAAAGCACTGGCTGACAGAGGTGGAAGGATACCCAGTCCAGCTCAACAGGTAGCCCAGCTGCCAATGGAGATGTTGCCCTGTGCTGGTGGGCCAGATGCAGCGCAGACATGGACATCTTGTGCGTAGATGGCAGTTGGGCTCGGTTTCTTCTAGCAAGACATTGCAAGTGCTCTGCCTCTTCCATTTCTTCCCCTGTTAAGTTGGTGCTTCCAAACGAGGGATAATCCTGTACTAACCTACCTATACTGGAATATTAAAAGACAAGACACCAGGAAAGCCTTCTGCAGTAGGTGCAGTTATTTAGCAAGCGTTACTCTGGAGGTAGGAGCTGTGGCTCGGAGTGCTGCGTTCCTGCACACTGGGCGTCCCCCAGTGCTCCTCGCTGAGGCTGAGCGAAGAGGTTTTCCTTCGTCCCGCCGATGAAGCTGCTTCACTTTGTGGACTCGGCGGCAGGTTTCTACCGACACTATCTAACTCTCCTCGAGGACTCCGGTGGAGCGGGTTCTCCTTGGCCAGCGGAGGCCGCGTGTTCCTGCTCAGGGCAAGGGCCTGGCGTGGAATTTGGTGGTTTGGTGTGGAACAGGTGATTTGAATAGGATCTGCGTAGCCATAATCTTTCCTGTAGGCAGTGGCACTAGATAACGACTTTGGAGCACGCAATCTCTAACGGGCTTCTGTTACTCCCCCTCTCCGAGCAAGAGCATCACGCCGGCTGCCCGTGACTGGCTGCAGTACGTTTCAGCAGGGACCTTGCACCCTAAACCAGATTTCGGAGTGCTTGGAGGACCTCTGAGCAGCTGGCTGGCCACAGAGCTGGGAAATCTTTGTTCCAACCCCAGGGTCCCTGTAGGTCTTTTCACCAGGCGAAGGGGGCTGAATTTCTGCTGCTCTGCCTTGCTGACAAAGCGAAGGGGAGGAGAAGAGCGAAGGGACGCACCGCTCTGCAGCTGAGGTGTCAAACATCTGATCTGCTGCAAAGTAGGTGAGGCACCGCTGCACCCCAGCGCAAAATCCACCGCTCCAAGAAGTGGGGCCTGTCTCGTGTGTCCTCCGACAGCCACGGTGGGGAGTCTGCTGCTGGTCCTCTCCTCGCCGGCCAGGCTTCGCTGCGTTGCAGGGCTTTTGAGCAAGATGCTAGCAGGATGGTCGTTTCTCCTGGTCTGCCTGTTCCTCATGTGCCCCTGCAGGGTGAAAGAAGGAGATGTGTTTGGTGGGGAAATGTGCTGGTACGATCTGCTTTCCTCTTTTTCTTCTGTCCTCCCCCTTGCCTGTGAGGACGCGCTTGTTTCTAGGACTTGTTTCTCGTTATGTTCTGCGACGATCCCAGAAGACGATGGCTGGGGAAGCAACTGGCAAGAGCTTGAGCTGGAATGCTGTTCCCCAGCTGGCAGCACCGCAGCATTGCCTGCCTCTGAACCCACCATGTGTTCAGAGAACACCTCGCCAGCCTGGGATATCTGTCCATTCATCCTGTTCTCCTGTCCCCTCGGGTGCAGCCATGTGCAGTTGGTGGTGATGGGCCAGGTGGTGGTGGTGGTGAGACCTTCTGTGCCTGGCACCATCTGCAGCCTCGCAGCAAGGGGAGGAACATGCTTAGCTTTTGCCTTGGTGAAACGTTCAACCCAAAACGAATGGCCTGGACTTCACCTCTGCTAGTGATTTCCCCAAACGAGTTGTGCGGGCTTCAGGCTTTCCAGTGCTGTTTTCCTGTCCTGTATAACTTGACCCAGAAGATGGCAGTGTCTCTCCTCAAGGAAATCTGGTAATACACGGTGCCTTATGGTGTCTCAGCTCCTGCCCTGGCGGCCTCTCCTCCATCTCTGCCGCAGAGCAGGGATGCGTTGACCCTGCCTCTCCTGCTGCTGGCCAGCTTGGGCAACACATGGCTGTGGGACTTTGCAGCGGTTTCAGGTGTTCTTTCTTTCCTCCATCTGTCTGCAAACTCCCAAGGCCCAGTTGGTGCCCTGCTCTGGGATACCAGCCATGGCAGGAGCCAGGGACCAGGACCCTGCCCCAGCGAGAGGCCAACTGAAGGTGCTGAGCACCAGTCCTGGCTTCCAGAGAGGCCGTGGGTGAACGTACTTCCTCGTGCCCCGAGGAGAGGAAAGGCACTGCTGTCACCAGGAGGGGTTTCTCCGGTTCTCACTGTAGACACCTGGTGCAGAGGGTTGTGGCATAGCTGTGCACCTTGCAGATCCCAGCCTGGGGAGCACCAGGCTGAGCTTTTGCATAGTGGGGCTTATGTCTTTGCCTGCCAAAGGCTTGGGCAAACAGTGCCCTCCTGGCACGGAGCAGCCTTCACAGGACGCTGGTGGGCAGGGGAGCAGGCAGGATGGCTGCATGTCGTGCTGGAAGGCAGTCTAGCCTGCAGGCAGGGCAGAGCTGAGACCCATGGCCGATGGTGGGAGGCGAGACCGATAGGTTCCTGCAGTGCCCTCCCTAGGGGAAGGGTACCAGGGAGGGGGCATGGCAGCGTATTTCGTAGCTGTAGTGTTTGAAGGGTCTCCTGGAAGTACCATTTGACTTACAAGGTCCCCTTTCTCCTGTGGGAAGGGCTTCAAGGAGCCAGTGGAGTCGCATCTCTGACCCTCCGCCTCCTCTGTGTTGCTGGCTTGCGGCAGCCGCTGTGGTTGAGTTTTGAGCTGAAGGCAGGCTGTTGGGAACAGCAGCACTCCTGGAGGAGACACGGGCTTGTCCCCATGTGGTACTTGCTGAGGTTGGGCACTACCCAATGCTGGCATCAAACCCTGGGCATCAGGCTGGGTGGACAGGGTAGATTCTGCCAGCCTGGAGATGACAAGAAGCAAGGGCACGAGGAGAACCTCTAGAAGCAATAACCAGGCAGCTCACAGCTCTCCTGCAGTGATCAGAGCAAGATCTCCGTGCAGGGAGCAGGAAAGCCTTCCAGGCCACTGCAAGAATGGCTGCTTCCCTTTGGATCTGAGCCTTGCTGGGCCTTCCTGCAGCCATCCGG